CCGGGTCCAATTCAAGGTGTTGGTCATCACCTTTAAAGCCCTTCATGGCACAGGACCGAGGTATCTGAGGAACCATCTCGCCCTGGTTATTTCAGCCTGCCCCACTCGGTCCAGCAGAAGGGGCAGGTTGCAGACCCCACTGGTCAAGGAATTTCAATCGGTGGGGTCTAGGCAGAGGGCCTTTGCTGTGGCTCCCACCCTATGGAACATCTTGCCTCCCGAGATCCGGTGTTCCCCTCCCTCATGGCCTTCAGAAAAGGGGTTAAATCCTGGCTCTGCCAGAAGGCCTGGGGGCCAGATGGGGGCTCCCATCTGTGGAGATAGCTGGTGGGGTGATGGGTTCTGGCTCCCCCCCCCCCCGCATCTTGAAGGGGTTAGGGCTAAAATATACAGGGTTTTTAAAGGACATTTTTAATGTATGTTTGTATTTTAATTATTTATGGATTTTAGCCACTGTTGGATTTTTAATGTATGTTTGTATTTTAATTATTTATGGATTTTAGCCACTGTTGGATTTTTAATGTATGTTTGTATTTTAATTATTTATGGATTTTAGCCACTGTTGGAGGGATAGGTGTATTTTTTCTTTTTTGTTATTGTGAGCCGCCCACAGTCACCTGTTGGGGGAGATGGGCGGCATACAAGTTTAATAATTAATAATAAATTAGTCTGCTTGCTCGGCCTATGGTATGGGAATTATACTTCTAATTCTCTAAACACCTGGAGAGCGTTGTCTTTGCAATTGCTACAGCGTTCATGTTCATCTCGAAGTGGAAACACTCGATAGTTTTCGCAGCCTTCCCGATTTTGGACTGCAACGTACAGAATTCTCAACCTGCAAAAACACATCTGCTCCCATGGTTGGTATGAGCATTCTCTTTCTCGCTGAAAAAAATGCGCTGTGCACTCTATAGGCTACGTATGGAAGCGGGTTCCCTTTCGCTTTGCAGCAAGGTTCGATAGGAATCGTAGTTCTTGCTAAAGGAGGCAAGTTTTGCTTTCAGTAAGAGGCTGCTCGCTTCTGCTCCCGTAAGCATGTAAAGGACACCTACCTTAACCGGGAAGGAGGATCCCCCTTGGGAGGCTGGACTGTATTTTCCTACTGGAAGGAAGCCCCGCTTCCTTCCCATAGAAAAATACAGTCCAGCCTCCTTGGAAGGAGACACATGTTCAGGGGCTGGAGGGCAAGAGCGGCGCAAAGGGGGCGGAGCCAATGGAAATATGCGTTTGGCGCGCGAAGAGTGGCGATTGGTTGGCAAGGAGCGGCGCGCACGGAAGAACCAATGGACGAGATTGGACGGCTGGCGCGCGCGCGGAGAAACTCTGTCGGTCAGTCGGGAAGAGGTGAGGGAGCGACGAAGGCGGTCCGGTCTTCTAAATCCAAGCCTTCCAAGGACTCGGTTTATGGTGGATGCTGGATCTCGAGGCAGGTCAGGAAAGGGCGGTGCAGCGATTGAGGAGGGGGACTTTATATGTGGGAAAGAGTCAGCTTTCCGGCGCAAGTCTTTAAGCCTGAACACGCTGCCAGCGTCCCCCCGCCCGATATATTGGACTGTAGTCTCCGTTTCATACTAGCAAGTCTTTTGAATACCGGGTGGGGGAATAATTCTGTCAGAATAGGCAGTAGGTGTGGTAGAAGTGGTGGGCACAAGGTTGGAGAAAGCTGCCCTAAGGAGCACGTGCCCTTGAAGCCGATACCTTTCTCGGTAAACGCAGGGCTTGTCTGCGCTCTCCTTCCTTCCGTTCCGTCCACGTGGCAACGATTTGGAGAGGGCGATCCAGAATAAAAAATGGGGGCAACTCATGCAACTACTTCTATCAAAAAGTTGGAAGTCCTGGTGTCAGCCTTACTCAGCTAGCTGGCCTCTGGGCAAGGGAAAGGCCATGTTGGCTATAGATACAGAGGGAGGTTGTAAGCCAATGATTTGGAGCAATGCAAGTTTTAAAACTGCCCAATAGCCAAAGCTCTTTGGGTGGTTTACAATAAAACACTAAAATAATACAGTTTGAATAAAAACAGGTATGGTAAAATGAAAAATACAGACGTGGTATAAACTGGACAGCTGCAAGGGGGGGCATTCAAAAACTAAAATTAAATAGCTTGGGAAAATAAAAAGGCCTTCACCTGATGCCAAAATGTGGGTGCCAGTTGAGCCTCTCTGGGGAGGAAATTCCATACACAGGTTGCCACCACAGAAAAAGGTCTCCCCCTTGTAGAGACCCACCTCATCTCCTTTGGTGAGGAGACCTGGAGGAGGGCTTCTTTGGATGATTTTAATGTCTGGATAAGTATATACTGGTCCCAAGTTGTTTAGGGTTTTAAAAGCTTATTTTGAAAGTGTTAGTATCTAGAACCATTCTGAAACCAAACTGCTTCTGTCCTTTAAAGCTCAGAATTAAAATGGGAGACCTTTTCCTACTGTTTTTCTTTTATTCCATACTGGGTATTAGCAAATACAACTATATGAAACCTCCATATTTAGGAGAAGTATTTGAATGCTAGAGCTTGAGCAAGTAATGGGGGATGTTGTTATGCCTCTTTTTGTGAGCCAACTAGAAACAACAGTGGGCTAGCCTGATATTTGATAGATTTAGTAAATTGGCATCAATCAAAATTTAAAGTTAGGGTATTTTAATAACTTTGAAATCCATGATAGTGTTTAAGATTTTATTACATTTAACAAGTGTAGGAAAGAAGTAGAGAATAAGGGAAGGATAAGTGAACAAGGGATGAAGAATCAAGCTTTGGGTGCAGAGTATGTGTAATTAAACTTGAGGACCAAGACACACTCAGAAGAATGGGATAAAAATAAAGATCCCCACAACTCATGCTCAATTCCTGGTGATTTCATGGATACATCAGTGTAGTTTTACTGATAACAATATGGAAATGGTTGGCTACTGTCTTCTAGGATTTTTTAAAATTTCTCAGTCTAGCCTTGGGGTTTCCTTCTGGTCTCCCTTTCAAGTAGTAACCAAGTCTGACACAAATTAGCTTTCTGAAATCAGCCATGTTTGGTTAGATGCTGCCACCTAGCTGAGGCAAACAATGGAATACCATGTTAAAAAGAAAGATGTGTAGTTTTAGGTTGTTATGGAAGTCTTGTGCTTTAAGCCTGACTGGGAAAGTCTTGGCTGTCCCTGCTGAAGGGAGAGGGAGAAAATATTCTCTGCTCTAATCCAGTTTTGATTGTGTTAATATAGGAAAAGAGGTATCAGCAAGAAATAAATTGTTGGTCTAACTTATAGACTATTTGTAGACTATTAGAGATTTGTGGAGAATGCTTTGCTTAGCTTGAAGACTGATTTTTTTTTTTCTGTTTGGTTCTAGTATATCCATCATGCCCAGTACCAGGTCACAGTCCCAGAGCCAGAAGATCATAGACTTTCCAAAGCGAAAATCAGTCAGGACACTTCAGAAATCGTTAGAGAAAAAGAAGGGTTCCCATCTGGATCCAGCCACATCATCGGACTCTTTGTTGTCTTCCCAAAAGAAGGTCTTGCCTCTCAGTCCCCGCAAACGCCTAGGTAAGTTGTCTTTTTATTCCTCCCAAATATCCTAGTACAATATTGAATATCAGCATATGTAAATCATTTTCTTTAAAATTAAACTAGTAGAAACGGTTGGCAAACTAATGCCTATAAATGAAGACTTTCCAAAATATGGGAACCCAAAATACCTGGGGTTGACTATTAAAAAACACTCTGATTTGGCCAATTTGAATGGTGTGATTAGGACATGTGTTGTTAATGCTAACTGATCGAACTCTCCAGAATTTCAGACAAACACTACCTGCAAATCACATGCATTGGAACTCACTATATGTAAAGCTGTTTAGAGCTTTTCTCCCAGAATTTGTGATACTTATGCAGTCCAGTTGTGGGCTGAGTTAAACTTGCGTATTAAATTCATTGGAATGCTAATTCTGTAAAGGCACAGGTTTTCACAGAGTTACTATTGTGGGGAAAAATTAGGCCTCATGCTGTGTGTAGATATAAGCACATACCAAATAAAAATGCTAAATATTACCCCCGATTAATGCTTACAACTATTGAGATTTGTTAGATTTATGTTCCATCTTTCCTCTAGGAGCTTAAGACAGTGTGCATAGCTGCTGCCTCCATTTTCCCCTGCCACAATAACTGGTAGGCTAGGCTGAGAGGGGGGTACTGGCCCAAAGAAACTCAGTGAATTTTTGTGATCGAGGGTGGAGACTCCCAGGTCCTAGCCCAACACCATAATGATTGTACCACAATGGCTCTCTCTGTTAGCAAGCTCTTTGTTTCCCATGAAAGCTAATTTATGCAAAATGAATTATCAAGTCTCTTGGGCACTACTGGAAAGAAGTCAGTAAAATAGTAACTATTTCCAGTGATACTTATATAAATAGGCTTATTTACAAAGAATTGAGTTTTAATGGGGTTTTTAATTACAAATCCAAGCATTTTGAATTTTCCTATTGCAAGAGTTGAACAACTAATGGACTAGTAGGAGTGAGTCACTAAAAAGTTCACAACAGGTTTTCTTTGGGACCCACCACTAGCCTCTGAGGATAGCGGTATTTTAAAAATGCTGGCTTGTACTGTCTCAAAATGATCTCTGAAAGGTGGAAACTTTGAATAAAAGGCTCACTTTTTAAAGAAGTCACTTTGTATAGATGTATGAATTGCACCTTCATTTTTATATTTTACTTCTACACTAGATGTCTTTTTGTTTCGCCTAGGTGATGACAATCTCTGCAATATTGCCCACTTGTTACCTTGCACCCCAACTAAGCAGAATAAAAAAGAGAACAGCTTTCCAACAACTTCCCCCAAGGCCCGGACTTTACTCTTCAGTGAATGTTCAGCCTCCAGGACTCCCATCAAGTGTAACAGTTTGGCTCAGTCTCCATTACAAAGGAGCCAGGAAACACCCACTACTACACAGTATTGCTCTCTTAGAAAGGAGCTAGTATGTACTCAGCTCTTTAAGCCAGAAGGTATGTAACAGTGTTGTGCATGATGAGCAGCTGGGGCCTGTTGCTGTAGTCTGTCTTTTCCAGGGAACTTTAGTATCACAGAATTCTTATTTCAAACTCCAGCTCTATATTATTTTATTTCTTTATTCATTTGTTCAGTTCATATAGCTGGCTGTCTCAAACAAGTGACTTGGGGTAGCTAACAACAATTAAAAAAACCAACAAAAACACAAAAATAAATAGACAATCAGTTGCTAAGATAAGAACAACAGAAAACAAGCATCAATACATGCAAAACAAAAAATTTACAAAAAATAACAAATACAGTACTAATATTAGCATATTATTATTTCTGTTACTTTATAGAATGGGAAAGCTAAGCTCACAAATGTAAATGAAATTCCAAGGTGATTTTATTTAGGAGCTAATGCAATACTGTGAAAAGGATTTGGATCCGTGTTAAAAGTAGCATCACCAACTGTAGTTGAATGAATTCATTTGAACCCTTCAGATTTGTAGTTCACATGTGGTTGCTGGAAGGCTTGAAATAATGTCTGTCATCCTTAGTCAACTAATAGTGTGCTGTTAAGGATGTTCCCTTAACGTCTGCCAAAGCATTTGGTGCTTCCCAAATGATGTTTACAAATTTTGTTTGAATTGTTAAGCATTCTTTTCTTTGGTTGGTTGAAAATTGGCAATTTTCTGACCTACAGCCAATCCATCATCTTGCTTTTCCTCTTCCAATATTTTTCTGGCTCCTCCGTGGCCCTGAGCATTCTTCAGAAAAAGAAAAAAAGTGGATGAAAGTCCTCTGCTTTCCAGCCATCCTACCAAAAATGAAAAGGAAGAAAGGAACTGCTGCAAAAATAGTAGCAAAAAGAATGCTTCTCCAAGCTGAAATAAGCAACCTACTTTGAAATATATGAATTCCTAATTAACAAAACCTTGAAGGCTTGAGAATAGCAGGAGAAGGGAAGTGTGAAAGGAAGATTACTTAGGGGGTGGCTTGAGAGAAAGTTAACAAGAGAACTGGGAAGCCAGCAAATTAAGATTGAGAAAATGAGTGGGGAGCAATTGTAGGAGGGAAAGAGGATATGCATATGATGGATGAATTAGAAGTGGGTATATATGTACATGGGTTGGTGAGTGTGTAAGAGAGAAGAAATGTGTTATCAGAATGGCTGTGTTTTGAGGGGATTGATCTTTAGAGCTTTATATTGGTGTTGATATGGGTATTGTGCCTGGAAGAAAATAATTTGGTATTAATCTTGCTATTATGGAAAGTACCCTTAGAAAAAAGTTGAAAAGATTATTTGGAGAGATTAATTTGTCTTTCCATGAAAGGGACATTTTGATGGGATAAAAAAGAGGATTTAAAGAAGAGTGTATGAGTTTATCTTAGTTGTACTAGTTTGCTTTTCTAAGAAACATGTATGATGTTGCAGTAATAATTTTCGTGATTTTTTCCCCATTTCATCATGGTAGCCATTTTATCTTGGTGTTTACCAAGCATTGCCCAAAATCAAAATGTATCCACAAGCCCCAAATTCCCTGCACTAAAAGGTAGGATGAATTTGCTGGGTATGCAACCAATTTCTCCTCTCTGTTGATCATATTTATTTATAGAATCCTTATGTCACCTATCTTACAGCTGCAGACACTGTTCAGAAAGCCAAGATAATATATTAACAATATAAAACAAAAAAAGTATGCTACTTGCTTTGCTTAATCTGATAAGGATCTATGTAGTTGAGCAATCTATTTCATCATTAACTAACAAGAGCTAATTAAAAGTGTGTACAACTAATTTAATAGAGGTAGTGAAAGTTTTCCTATTATAATTGGCTCTTTCTTGAAATCAGAATACTGTCATCTACTGTGTCAATAGAAACATGTTTTTGTTTTATGATAGCTCTTTATTTTTATGCAGGCACCTGTTATCAACAAGCAAAGAGTCTTCTGCATGCAGCTGTTCCAGATCAACTGCTTGCAAGGGAGAAGGAGACAAGTGTCCTGCTACGATTCCTCCAGGAGCATGTCTGCAGGAAGAAGCCTGGAAGCCTTTATATATCTGGAGCCCCTGGCACTGGAAAAACTGCTTGCCTCAACAGAGCCTTGCTTGATTTGAAGGTAACTGCTGGATTTGAACATGGATACTAAATGTTTTTGAGGTCTTTTGAAACATAGTGCTTGAACAATTACTGCCGGCTCTGACAAGTTGCATTTAACGTTATGTGATAGTGGTTTGAGGCTGATCTATTTCTCATTTTTCAAAATTGTAACGTATCCTACTCAGGGAGGGATTCAGAATCATGTGATGGGGTTTTCTTGCAACATGGGCACTCCTTCTGCAAAGGTTTGTTTTGTTTGTGACCTGATTCACACCCTAATTCTGATTTACACACAATAATGACCCATGATTTTAAGATGGCTTCTGCTTGTTGAACATATTATAGTGACCTTGTTTACATTTAGATAAATTATAAGGAATAGGTCCAACACTGCACTATGACAAAAATAAATCACATTTTTCTACCTTTGACATGCCAGGCTGTTAAGAAAACCTTGGTATTGTTTGCAATTGACCAGTAAAATTGAGATTTGAAAGAAGCTTGTAAATCTAATTTTTTGCAAAATGATGGCTTATTGTAATACCTGAATTAACATGACATGCTGCTGTCTGTTGCTGTGGCTCAGAAGCAAGCAAGCAAGAGCCTCTAAACCAAAGCATATATTTTGGTCTGCTTGAACTATGCTGTGAATTCTGAGCCCTAATTGGCATGAAACATGGTTTAATGCAATGTTTGCATAAATAAGAAAGAGCAATTTCCACTTAGTTGTGAAGGATAGTCAAAATCAAAGGTTGGCAGTTATTTGGATGGAGGGGGATATTAGTCCTTGCTAAAGAGGTGAGGTTAATAGGAGTGGTGTGACTATCTATAGGACTGCAGCATGCATTCCATTCAAATAGGAGGATTGGTGGTGGAGATTAAAGTCTCTATCCTCCTTCCATGGATCTAATCTTAGAATGCATATCCTGTTCCTCACTATTGTAACAATAAGGAAAATGATCTTATTCAGCATCACTTTATTCTTGCCGTGAATGTGTGTTACTGTTAGTAATAGGGAAATGACCATTTGTTCTTTGCCTCCCCATCTAATGTCTGGGAAGTGAGCAAAGGGTCCCCGGACTTTATAAGCCATGCAGAGAGCGACTTAAGATCATGCGTAATCTTTAGTTAGCTCTGGTAGCATGCTTATAATCTAAACTCATTTTCTGTTTGGGCCTCTCAAGTAAATTTTACTGATTTAGTCATGAGCAGCAGGGAATAACATATACCTATTGCCTATTTAATATGAAACTGGTATTTTCATGGTTTGTCACATCTTCCTTTTTCAAATATATGTGAACAGGTTTTTTTTCCTGAAATATCTAGGATGTTGCAGTTTAAAAAAAGAGAACAGTTGTGTGCTTGTGTTTCTGTGTGGTTAATCAGCTCAGCAGAATGAAAGTTCACACACAAGAATGTTAGTCAATCCTGCACATTTGATTATTGCCCCCACTAGTAAGGAAAGTGTTGCTTTTATTTTCTAGCAGCCTACCTTCTTGATTCTTCTTGGAGTTACTTCTGTTCAGAGGTGCCTTGTGCGTTGCTTTTTAACTCTTTTGTAAAGTCTAGGGAGTGAACAAACTTTTGCATCTCCCTGACAGGCAGAACTCACTGATAGTCAGATCACAGTCTTAAATTGCATGGCCTTAAGGACCTCTCAGGCTGTCTTCCCAGCGATTGCTGAAGAGTTGGGCCTGGCTGGAGCTGCCAAGGCAGCCAAAGGTGATGTCATCAGGAAGCTGGAGAAATGGTTGACATCAGAAAGTGCATCCATGGCGTGAGTAGAAGTTTTTTGACCGAAGAAGTTTGTTTTTTTTTATTCAGTCATTCGTTAGAAATAGGGATGGGGTTAGTCAGGAATTCATGCATTGTGTATGGAAAAACAGCATGTTCCCTAGCTTTAGGGACTCTTCTTCACTAAGCTGTATGAGAGCATCACGGGATCCCTGTCTGCTTCATAGAAAAAGTAGTTTGCCAAACTCCAGTGAGCAAGTGGTGTTTTCTCACCAGAGATGGAATAGTCCGGCTAATAATAATTTGAATGAAGTGTTCTGGAGTTAGAGAAATCTTTAAAGGAGAATTACATGTCCTTCCTCACTGCCTTCTCTCTATAATTTCTCCCTGTAAATATATTGAAGTATTTAAGTATGTTCAAGATTTAATAAACTGAAGTAATTGGTCCTGTGAAATTGGATTCTTTCTCAAATTAAGCCATTTGACAGCATTATTAATGATAAAGATTCTATCCAAGGAGTGCTTTGTAGAATTAAATGCTGATTTTAGTAGGATCTCTAACAGTGGTTTTTTAAATTATCATCATCATCATCATACTCAGGTAAGTTGATTGGTACTTGGGAAAGTTGTTCAACCCATAGAGACTATTTGACCAGATGATTTGAAGAATTTATTCTGAGGATTATATCCAAAGCCTAGATCAGCAGGCCATGCTGATTCACTTGCTCTTGAATAGCATTAAATGAGTGGATGCAGAACTATTTATTTATTAAAATATTTGATTACAAAAAGAAGAAAAAATACATTAAAGTGGTTTAACAAAACAGTGAAAAAAATACAACAAAGAGAAAGAAGTGTTAATATATCATTATAACAGTAAACAATTTCAATTCTATATATGCTTATCTAATACAAATACAATGCTGCAATATCAGTCCTTTGGCCATAGCAAGGGCATGGAGAATCCGTTTATGTTGTCCCGATGTTAAATTCCATGTACTACGTATATAGTTCAAAAGAATATTATTCTTTGAAAATTTTAGCTTTTGTCAGACAATTGTATTTATATAGTCCACTATTTTCTCCTAAATCTTAGTAAGATAGGATTTTGTAAAAACATATGCTTTAAAGAGGCATTGTCCTTATCTCCAACAAAATGCTGTTCTTGACAATCCTTTTCTATACAGACATAGTGGAGTCCAATAAATTCTAATATTTTTTGTTGTATAAATTGTAGTTTAAGGTCCATTGACACTCTTGCTATAGAAGTTAAGACATTTCCATTGTCTAGGTAATATATAAATCTCTAATTCTTTATTTCACTCATCCCTTAACATCTGCATATTGAATTGATTTATTGATAACAAATATCTAAACAAATTAATAGTAGGTTTTTTAGTTTTAAAAGATTTAACAAGTTGTTCTAATATCTCAGGTGTATTGGAAGCTGAAAATGCTGCTGGTCCAAACAATGTGGTTAACAGATGTAGCTGTAAACATTGCCATTGGGTTATATCTGATAGATGATATTTATCTCTTAAGACAGAGTATGTTAAAAATTCATCTTCATCTATCAGTTGGTCCAAAGTCAATATCCCCACTTCCATCCAATTTTTCCATATCACCA